CTAAAACTTTTATAGAACTTTCATCAGAAAGCGAATTAAAATCGAGCGGTTGTTTAGCTAAATCAGAAGCGGGAAGAATTTTTAACAAATCAAGGTTATTACTTGACCATTTATGTAGTTGAAAGCCTCCTAATTTCATAAGAGAAACCAACTCAGAAACCAGCTGTTTGGCTAGTTTTAAACTAGAGCACGAGAAAACAAAATCATCAATATAGCAGTAATTTTCGATTGCATGTGCGGCTAGAGGAAATCTGTGTCCTTGGTCTTTCACTAATTGTTTGAGGATTCTTAACGCTAAAAATGGTGCACTACTAATTCCATATGTAACTCGAGTTAATCGATAATCCCGAACTGGTTGGGTTGGAGAAAATCTCCAAAGAATACGTTGATAATTGCAATCTTGCGAATTGACTAAAATCATTCGGTACATTTGTTTAATATCAGCACACACAGCAAAAGCATTAAGGCGAAAATATAACAAAATAGCACATATGTCCTGTTGTAACTTGGGTCCAACAAATAGACAATCATTAAGAGATTTCTGATTAGGTAAATGAGCAGAAGCGTTAAATACAACCCTTAATTTGGTTGAAATACTATGCGGCTTTACCACACAGTGGTGCGGAATATAATAAGCATTGGTTGAGGAAAGCGATTGACCAGAAATTAATTCCATATGGCCAAGGTCAAGAAATTCCTTTAAAAAAGCAGAATATTCTAAATACAAATTTTCATTCTTTAATAATCGGCGTTCCAGAGAATGAAAGCGAGATAAAGCAAGGTCACGAATACCAGCAAAAGGCGGAGGATCACTCTTAAAGGGCAGTGACACGCTATATCGACCATTAGTATAGGTATAAGAATCTAAAAACAATTTTTCACAAAGGTCATCATCACTAGAAAAGGTCGTAGTTTCGGGTATTTTTTCAACTTCCCAAAAATTGGTTAAAGTATTATTAAGTTCTCGAATACAAGAAGATTTGCAAAAAAACGTGGACATAACAGGACGAGGTATTGAAGAAGTTTTTCCCAAAATCACGTAACCAAAAATTGTATGAATGGCATCAGGTTCAGATATGGTTCCGGTAACATGTCCATTTAATAATAGTTTTGGAAAGACATCTGCCCCAAGTAACAGATCGACAGGACCTGGAGTAAAATATTTGGGATCAGCAAGCTTAAGATCTAAAAGATGAGACCAATTATGAATAGGTAATGTAGAATCAGGAAGGTTATCACATATTTGATTAACGATAATAGCATCTAGATATATTTGAGGTTCTGGCTGATTAAGGGGTTTGCACGTTACCCCTACACGAGCGGTGTCAAGGGTAGATGTCATCGAGTCTAAACCTCTAATATCTACGGAAAATTCGGTTTGGGCAAGATTTAGACGAGTAGCAGCTCGCTTGGAAATAAACGAGCTCATACTTCCTGAATCTAGTAAGCAACGATATGAGCGGTAAATTCCTCGATTATCAAGAACATCGATAAGGGCGGTAGCTAATAAAATTCGACTTGATTCTATTACTCCTTGAGCGGTAAGAATTTGATTTCCTAAAGTACTAGTACTGGTGAAATTTGGCAGAGACGTAGACGAAGTAGGAGGCAAGCGGTCCAAAGGGCGGTGATTTTGAGATATTTGCCGATCAAAATGCAACAAGCTATGATGTGATTTTGAAAAACAATATCTACAACCTTGAGTACTATTGCAAGACCTCAGGTCATGAGAACTACTCAAGCAATTATAGCACAAATGGTTAGATTTGCAGAAGGCATGTCTTTCAGAGGGCGACTTTGAAGCGAAATTCTGACATTTATAAAGCGAATGAGTTTCCTTGCAAAGAATACAATTAGAACTAGGCGATTTAGCGCCAGTATTCGTAAAAAACGAACGCGGACGTGGTGTGATAATCTTAGGTTTATTTTTTATATTTGAACTGGATGGCGAGTCCGAATCAATATTATCATAAGCTAAATATTGTTCGTTTAAGAATTTAATAAGACTTTTATAGCTAGGAACCTGACAAGAACGATGTTCAAGTTCGAAACGTAGTTTAGTTTCATTATCAAGTCGTTTAAGTAACATCATGGCTAGAATGAAATCCCAATGTTCAACCGGAAAACCTAAGATTTCTAGAGCGGCAATATTTTCTTTAAAAATATCAAGTAATTTTTCTAAAGCGTGCGGATTATTCGATTCAATTTTAGACGTGCTGTCAATCTCATTCCAATGAGCTTGTGCACATTTTCGTGGATTTGCATACCTCTCTTGTAAAGTATCATAAGCTAATTGATAATTATTAGAAGTTAAAGGCAAATGCCGAACTAAAGAATATGGTTTTCCATCCAAGCAAGAGAGTAAATAATCGAATTTTTCAATATTAGATAAATGAGGTTTTTCATGAACTAAATTATTAAAATGGTCTATAAATGAGCGAAAATTTCTATAATCGCCACTAAATTTCTTTAATTCAATCACTGGCAAACGAATATGAGATGAATTTGGATCTATATGAAAAAGTGTAGAATTATGCAAAGCAGTATTTTGATTAGCGTTTACTGGTTGAGTATCAGATTCAAATAATTCCGAAAATAATGCTTTAATCTTATAAAATTCTTCTAAAAACATTTCTTTGGTAGCATCTTCGCCCCCAGCATCTTCAGGGATAGCAAACAATGTGGCAAGAACATTATTATGATGTTTAAAAAAATCCTCTTTAAGACTATCAATATCTGCGCACCTTACTTTAAAGACATTTTTGAATGATTTATTACTATTCGCTTTATCAGCGAGCATACTAATTACGTTTATTTCATTTAAGCAAGAAGTTCTTAAAGTTTTATATTTAACAAGTTTTTCAACCATTGTAATAAATTAAATAAATCGAATCGCAAGCAAAACAAAATTAAAACCAAATTTATTTGTATCAGCTGATCAAAAGGCAATATTAATGTAGCGGCAGCGGTATCAAGCTCACCTCGATACGAAACACGGCGAAAAGGCGGGCGATTTCTCACAAATTTCAAAAATAACGAAATATACGGTAGCGGAGTAAACGACAAAGCGGTGATTGATAAACAGAGCGACAATTAGCGAAAAGGCGATAATAATAATAAATGAAGGCCACTTGAAGGCCGATTGATTGGAACCTGTGTACACTACCGATGTCGAACAACTTGAGCACGACTCGACTAAAAAAATGACCAATATGTCTACCTGATAAATTTTACAATTAACTCAATAAATTTAATACTTATTGAAATAATATTGTATGCAAACTAAATGATTTTTTTTTTTTAGTAAGAACTGATTAATTTTAGCAGATATGCTATAATTTTGAATAGCGCTTTTGATAATTTAAAAAATAAAGAAAATTTTAAATCGAATTTTTCGCAAAAAAAATCCCACAGTTATAATAATGCAACAATTTAATTCTAACTGTTATTAAAGTACTCGAAGGACCAAAAAAATGTAATAGAATGATTGGAATATTACGTAAAAAAGGGCTGATTGTAACAGTCGAAAAAAATAAGATAAACGTGTCTCAAACGCGCTTACCTTCTGTGCTGCATCATATGGTTCGTCGGATGAAGTAGGTGGTAGTATTAGTCCAGTAGCCAAGACCGGGCCCGGTTACACAATTTATATAACAACGTTTATTATACAGGATTTATAATAGCGGATTTAACGGCACATACACACCACAAAGCGTTCGTCGCGGCAATTTTTGTAGTACTCTTCGTCCAACGGCGTTTCACTTGTCTTACAGTCAGACGAAGCGCATGTGTGGGCCAAAGTTTTAAGTAAGCGATTTGAGACAAAGCGCGAATATTTAAATAATAAAATAGGAATTAATTCATTCTGGAACATAAATATTAATAATTTAAATACCAGATTATTACTAAAAATTAAAACTTACATTTTACAACAGGGCAGTGACATTTATTTGGAATCCTTTTGTTTTATTTTTTAATATTACCGGATGAAACAGTGAGACTAATCTATCGTAAGTCACGTTCATTAACTTTAATATAAATATATCAAAACATTATAAACATAACAATTATTATCAAAATACGTTATTCTATATCACCGTTTGTCACAAAAGTTATAAGTTGTTGTGGATTAGAATATTAGAAGCATTTTTCAATGCCCATTTTGAAACTGATTGATTAATCTTTCGACAAGATAGTGTCTTCTTGTAGGTTGCTTCAAGTATAAACCACTTGGTTGCTTAAATTGGCATTTATATATAAACAAATTAATTGTCTCAAAAGAAAACCCAACAACACTTTTAAAATAAGTTAAAGAGATTTACCTACAGTACACCAATCGCTGCACAAAACTTTACTATGCACATTTCGGAGCTTAATATCCCGAAAACAATAGTCTTGCCTTTTGGCAAGGGTTTTGGACCGCAGTCCTCACTCGATTTTTTTTCTCAAGACTAGTCTCTCTATTTAAAACTAAAATTTACATTACAGTTTTACGTTTTAGAATGTAAACGTACTACCTTGGATAATTCTCTAGTTCAATGTAAGCCATTGACTGGAGTATTAACCTGTTTGTTTTATTGCAATACGTGCGTTTTCGGTTGAATATTGAGTTAAAACATAAAAAAATACTTTTTTTGAATTTTTGTTCTTTACATTTTCAAATAATAATGGCAATTGGCTAATGGCCGTAGTCGTCGACGCCGATGACACCAAATTAAAAAAAAAAAAATAATGGCAATTATTACAATATCTAACAGGAGATATAAAAGATGTAATCCAATTAATACTGATTTTATCGCCTTATTGGTAATAACTAATAACAGTAACATTAGTACTAACAGCCTACATATTTAGACTTTGTTCACTTAGTGGTATTTCGCAGTATTTCCACGAAGATAGATACCATTAACAGAACAGTTAGGTTAAATTGATGACCGTTTCATTGTAATGGTGACATACTTATAATTTTGCACTTGTTAAATAACAATCGTATTTTGTAGAAATTATAGTGACGAACAGCATACTGCACAGGAAGTGAAGCAAGATATAATTGATGAAATAAATAGGAAAACCGTTTTAGAGGGAAGTATTCCCATTTCGATGATCATAGGACCTTTCTATATTTCAATTGATCAAATACGAGGGAGTTTAATAGCCAAACGACAAGATCTCATAAATAAAATGTTCGAATCGTTTACGACAAAAATGAGAGAGGGGGTCGAAGATGTAAGTAGTTTTTTTCTTGAAAAATTTTGGATATAATAGCAGTTTAACATTTTTGAGAAGTCACATCGGACAAATTATTTCTTAAAAACAAGAATCCCTTTTTCCTCGTGTATATTTTTAATCAGTTTATGGCTTCAACTCTTACATTCACTTATTGCATAAACCCATTTCTTCTATCAAGCAATTATTATTTCGTTCTTCGTCAATAAATATAATTTTATCTTACATCAAATGGAAAATTCAAGAATGAGGTGTGCTAAGCATAACAGGTTTAGTTAAAATATGTGATTGTAAATATGTAAAGTTTCCAGAATTTGTTATCATATTTTATTCTCCACTGATGGACCGGGAACTGTTACTTCATAAGGTATAACATTTTTGACTGTCAGATTTGATGTGGATCGATAACATTATTTACATTTTTGAAAAAGGTGTCTTCCGAAATGTCTTCTCTAAAAACTGAAATTTCTGCTGATGTGGAAAATAAGATGGTTTCCGTTGAGGAGAAAATAAAAGAAATGGAAAAGTGAAAGGACGGTGAAATAAAGTACCATGAGTTGAAATTGGAAGTTGTAAATTCTGTCTGTGTTAAAGCCCCAACTTTCGATGGAAATATGTTATGGACCATCTACCTTAAAGAGTTCGAAAAAGCTGCCAAGGTAAACCAATATTGTGAAAGTAAATTTGACCATTGCCCTTCGAGGAGACGCATGAAACATTTGTATCAATCACAGCTAAAGAATCGCAAACAGAAACGAAACGAGACCCTTCAAGAATACGAAGTAGATATTGCCAGGTTAGTATGGTTTGTTAACCCATCAGCTCCAAAAAATATGATGAAATGCCTAGCTATCCAAACATTAGTAAATGGACTCCGTAACCATGAAATGCAGAAAACACTCAGTCTAGCCCGTCACAAAACATTGGTCGATGTCCTGTCTGCTGGTTTAGAGTATGAGGTAGCTTCGCATGCTTCTAGTGAAGTGAGGTCTGTAAAAGAGGAAGAACAGGAAGATAAACAACCAATTGGTTAACATGATGAAGAGCCTTGCTGATAAAAAGATGACGACGAAGACCATCAGGTGCTGGAATTGCGGGTCACAACAAATGAAGACAACACGCCGCAGGAAAACTAGATTGAGATAAAATTAAATGAATTTTTCCGACAGTTCGCAGTCATTATATGTTTTCATTTGAGGTACTTCACCTTTTACCGACATCTGGTGGATTTTTTATGTACTATGCAATTTTTGGTGCCATATTTTAAAAAGAGTAGAAACACCTGTAAAATGTCATTCAGCGGGATATTAATTAATAATTTAAGGTTATGTCATGTGATCCATGAGCCCGTCAACACAATCGAGTAGATGGATTTGGTGACAATCATCTGAATATTACAAAACGCCTTCTCCCACTGTGGGTAGAAATCAGGGACGGATTTAAAATATTTCTTTTATTTTAAATTGGCGTTAACAGTATCGCATTCTTTTATTTTAAATAGGCGTTAATACTAACGCATTTTTTAAAATTATTTGGACCTTCAAGATATATTTCAATATATGTCAGTATGAAACTAAAATTAATTCATACCATTCTGCATTATATTTTCATTTCTGAATCGTTTGTAAGTATTTAAGATGAATCCTGGACTTGTGAAAGCAGATTTAGCTAATTTTAAAACGTCCACAAACGTCAAATAAAAATATTTGGCACCGTTGCAATAATATGTAGTTATTCTATAGGCCCCAGAATTGGGTCGGATACAGGAAAAAGTATCCGAGTACCGGATACGGATACTTACAATGTATCCGGATACTTTTTAGGATACTTTCACCTAAACAGTACTCGGATGCAAGTATCCGGATACTTTTTCGGATATTTTAAAGGATACTTTTACGGATACTTTTAAAGTGAGTTAAAATAATGTTTCAATACCAAGAGTTATAATTATGCAATAAGATTAATTACGAGTAAAAATAAACAATACTAGGCATAAATAAATTATCGAAAATGGAAAGTGATATAATAGAAACAAGAAAAAACTACTCAATAAATTGTTTATTATTTTTATTCTGTGAATATAAAACACTAAAACAAAATGAACAATAAAACATAAAGGTGCGTGTAAATAAAACGAGTCGCGCCTGAACCGCGCCAAAAACCAACCAGTGTCATGTCCATATAAATCTAACGAAATAAGCTCGTTGTTGGCGCGACTAGTCATGTTTACACAACCCTGTGATATTCTCGTTAGTGCAGATGTATTTAACAATTCATTTTTTGTGGATCCTGCGACGAGCGATACTTGGTAGAGTCGAGAGCGACGAAAGAGGGAGGAGTGAGAGATTGCTGAATGTTTCGTTCTGGGATAGGCAAAGCAGGCTTGTATATTTGATCTTATCAGATCTGTATACTTTATTAATGACAGAAAGTTTAGTTATATTGCACTATATAAAAACACAGGAACAACCGTCTCTTGAAACATAACTGGGCTAATGGAACCTCCACAAGTTCGTGACGCTAACACCGGACGAGAGTTTGCAGGATTTTTCCTGTAAAAATGTGTCGCAAAATGTTGAATCCCGACCGTCTGTATACTCGTTGAATCGTCGAATTCATCCTTGATGATGAGACATTTTTTTGGCCTTATTTTAAATTTTACAGGGTGCTCCAAACAAAACAACAAATCATAATAAAATAAATATTTTACTATTTTTAATTTAAGTAGGTACCTATTGCAATTGTGTCCTTAATATTGTAATATTGAAAAATACGTATTTTATTTCTAATTATACAGGGTAGCTCAAAGTATATTATTATATATTATATATTTTAATAAAGATAATATGGATTGGATCAGTTACGATAGTGGTAAATAATTTAAAAGTATCCGAAGGCCGAAAAAAGTATCCAGTATTTGGATACTTACAAATTTGGTCACGGGTACGGATACCGGATACAAAATTTTAAAAGTATCCGGATACAGCTTTCGGATACACATAAAGTATCCGGATATTATATCCGGATACAGAAGTATCCAGATACTACCCAACTCTGATAGGCCCTAAAATATAGGGTGAATTTCCCAACCTACGATATAATTATGAATTTCATTGATCCACAATTAAATTATAATTGACTAATAAGATTAGCCTATAGCGAACGTAAGCACCGTTTAATTTCGAACTAACATGAACAATATTACATAGACCACTCCTCCAACTCCTCTGCCACGCCTAAATGGTTAAGGGATAGAAAATAACTAATAACGGGGCCATAAGGCATACACCCCGTCTGAAGCGATTTTAATCCGTCCAACTTCCCCCCTCTTCTTACTTCTCCCCTCTTCCTCAGGGGAGGTCGATATATGGAACCGATAGACTTAGGAAAATGAACTTCGGGTACGATGGATTAGAATTTAAGGCAAAAACATTTTACCCCCTCTTTTCCATATGAAAAAGAGTTAAAAAATTTTTTTGGATTCTGGAGATTTTTGAACCACCTCCCTCTCTACTTTCTCCACCCACGGTTGTATCGAGGACCAAAATGTAAGATGTAATTCGATTTTGGTTACTACCTTCCTTTCCCGCAAAAAAGTTGACAAATGATTTCATAAATTTATTGTCATGAAATTTCTTAGCCGACCCTGTGCCTAAAGCAAGCGCGACCTTCAGATGGCAACCGACGGAACGTTCAGAAATGCCGCTGACGCACTAGAAACAGCTAGAACGGGTGGAGAGTGCCGTTGAGTCAGAGATAGAATTTTCGGGACCGTCTAGAGTATTCTGGTTACAGAGTTGGCTTGATATAAATATCGCGAGTTTGAAGACGGCAGTCAGTTGATTATAGACAGTTTAATATTAAATATTGGAATAAAAAGTTAAATTGTAATAAATAAATTAGAATTGATAGTTAGTGTCTAAGTATTATATAAATTAATTATTACGTCTTAAATAAATTGTAAATAGTGTGTTTTAAATAAATAAACTATAAATAAATTAGATTATCGACACAGTATTAATGATTGAAATATATTGTCTGGACGTTTCTTTGGGAGGGACCTCCCCTAAGTATAGTAAATGTAATAATAAAGTAAACGGAGAGAAGAAGAAATGTCTAGACGAACAAATGAGATGAAATGTCAAGAAAAAGAAATGTCAAGAAGAAGAAATGTCAAGAAGAAATGTCAAGAAATGTCAAGAAGAAAAAAATGTCAAGAAGAAGAAATGTCGAGCAGAAGAAATGTCAAGAAGAAGAAATGTCAAGAAGAAGAAGAAGAATAAAGTGCTCATTAATCAGAAACGGTTTATCAAAAATGTGACAAAAATGTTTTTCATATCAATAAATGAGAATTTTTTGATTGTGTGTTAATGTTATTTTTTATTTAATTATAATGGTACATAAAAAAAATTTGGTCTCAGATATACAATAAACGAATGCATAAGTATAAAAAAATATTAGAAACACATGCATATTTTCCTCAAATTTTCAATAATGATTACGGTCGAATTTCGACCACTGGGCGAATACTATTAAGATTGAAAATTCCGATGCGTTATTATAGTCCATTACTGAACATGTTTCCAGCGTAGCACTGTTTTTTTTTACTAGGCTCAACGGAAAAAGAACAGCCCTGGTTTTAGTAACATAATTCTAGAAACAACTATTATCAACACACACATTTTCTAGTAATTCATTTTTTATAACTGCTTTCTAAATATCTTTCTTTGTAGAAATTTAATATACAGGATGTCCCAATGAAAAGTATCTTATAACTGTTAAACAAATCGTAGAAACTTACGGCTTTTGCTGATGTGTTATTTTGCTATAAGTTTTGCTTCAGTGATACAGAAATAATGTATTACTAGTATTAGGTATATATTTTTTAAAAATCTCCTTTTTTAAATTCACCGTAACCAAATTTTATCAAATGGAAACGGGCTACTTTTCATTGGGACACCCTGTATTTTATAGCTTCCTATATCTACCTTTTTGTCTCAATACTTCCTTTAATTCTGTTCCTAAATCAAATTGGATATTTATTAAAATATACGAATTTTTTTAAACTATGGAACGCCCTATAATAGAATATTATTCCAATTTTATAGAAGGTATCTAGAGCCGCGTTTACACGAAACTGCAGTCCAATCCGTATCCCGCATCAGTTTGCTTTTTTAAAACTATATCGATTTTCGTTAATTTACTGCGTTTATGGTTTTTTGATTTTGGTATATTTAATTATTATATCAAGACTTGGAAGATATAAATCATTTTTAACATTACAATACTGTTTATAAATAACTAGTGAGCTAGGTAATTTAACATTTTGTTTCACAGGTTATAACAGAATACGAAATAATCTACCGAAAAATCCAAACGAAAACCGATTCTATCGAAATAATTTTTGAAAAGAGAGATTTTATGGAAACCATACCAATGGTTATAAAGGGATTTGAAGAGACTACAAAGAAACTCGTTATAGTACGCTATTTATTATTATTAATATTATTATCATATTTTACTTTTAATATCGCAAATATTTTTTCATAGGATTATGACATTTTGGACTTCTTCCGGATTAATTTGTCCAATGAGGATTTCAAAGCCAAATGGAATGCCGTGGGATGGCCCAAGAAATTAGAGAACGAGATAGCCAGTACTGAAGCCTTAATGAAAGATGAAGAGGAACGATTGCTTAAGCAACAACTAATTGACGAAGTTACATTAGCAGAACAGATAGAAACCTATATTGGCACTTGTGTTATTTTGCAGGGTCTATTGGAATTTAAAAAGGTAATACTCATTATGCCGAAAGATGCATATTACAGTCATTTTATAATTTATTGTCATTAGCATGGTTTTAAATAATAATATCGTCTTTACTGTCAAATATTTCAAATTGCTTTCAATCATTGAATAGTATAAATTGATTTCTAGGTTCATCAAATAGCCGATGAATGCAGAGATTGTTGGACGGCAATGAAAGACGCGCAACAAAGAGGGCAAATGTTAAACCAGAGGCAAAAGCTTTTTGGAATTAAGGTTACTCCCTTCGATAATTTAACCAAACTTTTAAAAGAATTTGAACCATACAAAAATGTCTGGGTAACTTCGTCTGGTAAGCTCAAAATTTTAGTTATAGTACGATACACTCATAACGCCCTTCTATAAGTTTAGTGTGTGACGTCACTGTGATTTACTAAGTCATTATTTGTCATATTTGTTAAAAAAAAGTATTTTTTTTGTAAACTTATTAGAATTGTTTAATAATTTTGAAAAATAAACTTGAAATAGAAGCTCAAAGATTACTACCGTAATAAATCTTAAATACCTAATAATACCTATACTTGTGATAACAAAATAATTAAGACATTTAAAAATAAGTAATAGAAAACAACGACCGTAGCAATGATCGCGTCATCAATGCGTCTCAGATGTTAACTTCGAAAGATGTTAACTACACGTCGTTTGTAGACAGATAGTAGACGTAGCCAGTTTGCAAAAATAAATGCCATTTATATTGTACAGTAAACCAAGCGAAGTGGTTGTAGTTGTGATCTATTCTAGTCTATTTTTAAGGTTCCTTCAATATAGTCCACTTATTGTGCTTAGAACACCATCAGTTCCCATCAGAGCTACAGTTCTCACAGTCACGTTTCCTCCTTTTTTTTTGTAGATTGAAAACCAATGTATTTTGTTATTTTAGATTGGATAAAATTGTATAAGCAGTGGATGGAGCAATCTTTTATAAATATAGATCCACGAATAATAGAACCAACAGTTACCGATATGTATAAAATGATCGTAAAATGTTCGAAAATATTTGCTGAAATTCCGGGAATTCAAGAAATTGCTTTGGAAATCAAACGGCAAATAGACGATTTTAAACCACTAATACCTGTATTGGTGGCGTTAAGGAATCCTGGTTTGAAAGAGAGACACTGGGTTCAAATAGGAAACGTAACAGGTAAGCCACGGCACTTAGGCTGCACTAGGACCATTGTGCATCCTCCTAAGTAGATAGGCATCTTGAAAAAACTTTTGCATGGAATTAAATATAGATTCTCCCTTTGCACCAGTTTCCAAATTTTTAGCAAATAATATATCATAATAAATGTTTGCATTTTTTATAAATCGAACCTATGATAAAAGTAGAGCTTCGTTATTGGTAGAGTTGATTTATCGAGTTGAATAGAAAATTTGTCCGTCTTTAAGAGTTCACATAATGATATTTCTTTTGAAATGTTATCTTTTGACTGTTTTCTAAATGTTTTGGTTGTTGGGAAAGATAAAAAATTAACCATTTAAAATTTTGAGATTTAAAATTTTGGTTCTTATTATTTATGAGTGGTATTGAATTTTATGTATGAGTGGTATTGAATCTTGATGGCATGATGTTGATAGTTCTTTCCCGTGGGTTGTTGTCAGTTTAGATCCCCAGTGTGTTTTGTATTAAAGTCTCCTTCCACTATGAATATGTATCCTTTGTTATCCAGACACTTAACGTAGTCACAGAAGAGAGAACAATACAGAAAAGAAACAGGGCTAGTTCCACTACAGATATACTCTAAGAAAACGTAACTATTCACAGTACACCTAGCTCTGTGATGTATTGTGAATAGTTACGTTTTCTCAGAATATCTCTGTGGTTTAACTAGTCCTATGTTTCACTACAGAGATACTTTAAGAAAGGTCGTGTGAATTAGAAATATAGAACTCTTAGGACTTTATAGATATCATACTTAAACTAATTTGTTGCCTTACTCTATATTATAAAAAATATTACACTTCTGTTTATTTTAGGAATCGAGATAGTCATAACACCGATGACCAACTTTAAAAGTTTTATAGACCAGGGCATTTTAGACTACGATGAGAGAATAATCACAATATCCGAAAACGCCATCAAAGAGTACCAGATTGAACAAACTCTAGAAAAGATGATGTCAGAATGGGATTCTATTTATTTGGAATTAACTCCTTATAAAACTACTGGTAACTCATTATTAATTCTTTTTAGGGCAGGTTGTACAAAAAATGCTGTAAACACAGTAGAGAGGTGTTTATTTTTTAACTGGTTATATTCAAACACAAATGTCATTTTTAAACTATGTTTTCTGATTATATAACGAGGTTCACAGTTTAACCTAATATTACATTTTAACTGCCTATTGTACAACCCGCCCTTATAGTCAGTATAATTTTTGTATCTTTTAAATATATAGGGTGTTTCATACACATAAAATATGGAAACGAAACGAAGGATCATAATAGCCTACTATATTTCCCATTAGATTTGAAGTTAATAGTGCAAAACAAGAAATTGAGTAATTTACCCAAAGTATTGACACCCTGTTCTGTTAAACTTAAAATGTTGGCCAGCAGATAACAATTATGTTTCTTAGGTACTTACGTAGTTAGAGTTTCCGATGAAATTCAGCAAATGTTGGATGATCAAATTGTAAATACTCAACAAATTTCGTTCAGTCCTTTCAAAGCTCCTTTCGAAGATAGAATTGACGAGTGGGAAACAAAACTCAGAATTACTTCTTACGTTGTTGAGGAATGGATGGACGTTCAAAAGTAGGTACTATTTTTTAGCATTCAAATCTTACAAAATATTACTGTCCTAATACAATTGTAAACAAAGCAGTATACCACATTAAGAACTCCAAAAAGATGTGGTTAAAATAAAAATGACAGTAGCTATAGCAGGGGCAGAAGTTGGCAGCTGTCAACTGTCAACGAACTTCAAAACCCAAACTCTTAATGTGAAAAGAGGATATTTACTTTTATATTCCTCGTTGACCGTGAATTGACAGCTGTCAACGGTCAATTTGTCCAATCTGACATGAGGGTTGAATCCAGTGATCTCAAAAACATTACCCTATATATTATAATAATCAAAATATGCTTTTGACATCTGTAAATAGTATTGAAAATGATTAGTTTTGCAACGGGTCAGGGGAGCTTCGGCAGCTGCGTAGCTGCCAAAATATTCATTTTAGCACTTTGTGCCCATGGAGACTTTTGTTCAGGATGACAAAATCTACAACATATTAAAAGTTCAGACAATTTGACAAAAACCCAATTTCCATAAGATTATTGCGGGGTCCTTTAAAAGCCTTTAAAATTTATTTATTGCAATATAAAAGGTAAAATAAAAAAAAAAACTTCTCTCATTATACAAATTTGAATTAAATTTAGATGCCATTAAAATTTATTTATGGTAATATAAAAGTTAAAATAGATTGGACAGAACTTTTATAATACCCTAAAATTTGAATCTATTAAAACATTTTAATTAAAAAAGGATGAAATCGCAGAAAGTTTGATCTGATCGTTAATGGAAATTCCAGATTGTTGTATTGTTGATTTTTGTGTTGAAACAACCGAATACGTATGTTTCTAACGTGTTTTATTATACAAATATCACTAAGTATATATTTTAATATTATATGGTGTACATAGTAATAATAAAAAAAATAAGTAAACTATAAAGGAATATGTACCGCAAATGGAAAAACTAAAAAAAATTGTGTAGAAATGTTACTTGTCAGAATAACTAGGTAAAAAACATGAGAAAATCGATCTTTTTTATCGCAAGTTCCACCCATAGACTGAGATATATTTTTTTCCTTGAAATTTTATTTAATAGATTAATTATGTACCCACTTATTTTTGTTAATTTCGATTTGGAGATTTAAAATTTTAAAACATTTCGTGGCAAAACAGTGATTTAAACCTGAAAATTTCATGCGCATTTAATACAGTCTTCAACAATACCCGTATCCCACGTGATCAATTGACATTTGAAATAGTGGCTGAAAACGGAAGTAAAAAATTTCTAGTGGGTTAATGCCGTGTAACATTTTAAAAATCATATTTTAGAAATGTTATTTTGATTTTGTTGATTTTGATTTCAATTAAAATGATTTAAAATGTAATTATTGTCGACGCGGTCATCATTGCTGAGAGGGCGAAATCTCGCGAAGCGGTGATTGAATTTATTATCGGCTTTTTTTCCTAAATCAATCGTTGACTTGAAATAACATTTCGGTAAAGTGCTCGACTGCGATAAAGCGAGAGCGAATATATGGCAGTCCGTGTGTTACGAATCGATGGCTCATAAAGCAATTAAAAAAAAAAGGTAATTGCTTGGAAGAGTTATAATGGTTGCATGTGTAAAAAATTAGAGTATTGCACCTCTTACCTTTTAGTTCTTCCTCTTGAAGTATCTTCCAGGTACCTGGATCTCGTGGAAAAAGCGGAGCTTCGAGAATAGCCAGGAAATCACAACAAAAGCGGAAAACAGTAAAATTATTGTAAAGCACCAAACGCCGGCCGTATTCACCTGTATCGCCTTTATTTTATCACGATCAATATGTGTCTTCTGGCCGAATAAACGATCGGTCGAAATATATCAAAAAAAGTTTAGTTTTGATGAACTGTTCATACCGCTGTCCTCCAAATAGGGTAAAACGGTGCAATACAACACATATTGAAAAATAATAATAAGAAATTAATTGAGTATTCTATTCATAACATCCTCCCCTACGAAATGCAGAAATATGCATTTGAAATAATTAAAGAAGAAAAATATATGTATACCTATATACATAAATATAAATATATATACATAAACAAAATAAAAAATATTATTCGTCAAAGTTTGGCAAAGGGCATAGTTTGACAAGGGGGCGTTCTAACAATCCATTTTTTGCCTTAACTACTGCTACTCTGGCAATATTGTCCCGGCCTACAATTAGTTTGCTGATACGGGCCAATACCCATTGATACGGAGGCAAATTGTCCTCTTTAATAAGAACCAGTGTCCCTTCTTGAGGTACTAAGGAGTTTGAATGTAACCACTTTGATCTTTGTTGAAGAGAATGAAGATATTCGCGATGCCAACGTGACCAGAAATCTTGATTAATTCTTTGTAAAAGTTGCCACCTAGATAGCCGATTAAGCGGGAGCGAAGTTAGATCAGGAATGGGTATGGTTTGAAGCGGTTCCATTATAAGGAAATGTCCTGGAATTAGGGCGTTAATATCCTCAATGTCATTGCTTAAAGGAGTGAGCGGTCGCGAATTTAGAATATATTCTATTAATACCAGAATAAAACTCCTCATATGTTAGAATTTGTTGTCCAATCACGCGTGCGATGTGACTTTAAACGGATTTTATTCCAGCTTGCCAAAGGCCCCAAAGTGAGGTCCCGAGGGTGGACTAAAATGGTACGCGATTTGCTTATTTTCTGCAGCACCTTGCATTAAATCTGACAGTTGTAGAGCTGCGCCAATGAAGTTAGTGCCATTGTCACAATAAATATTCGAAACCCGACCACGTCTAGCGATGAACCGTTGCAAAGCTGCAAGAAATGATTCTGTAGAAAGGCTACTAGCTAATTCCAAATGTATAGCCTTAGTGGCAAAACAGACGAATAAGCATAAATAAGCTTTAACCGTACGGACGCCTCGATGTCGGCTGAAAATTATAAGAAATGGACCACCGTAATCAACCCCTGAATTAGAAAAAGGTTTTACAGCGGATAAACGACAACTTGGTAGATTGCCCATAGTTGGTTGATAAGGTTTGGGAGAAGTTTTCCAGCAAACATTACATTTGCTTAAAACCGAATTTATTGCTCGCTTCCGAGAGAGCACCCAAAATTGTGACAACAAAAATTGTGTGGTTTGACAACCAGCATGAAGATGCTTCCTGATAAGTCGATGAGGTGCGCATTTGTTGGACCATGATAATAATTTATTTATTGTGATTACAAAAAAACGTTAGTTGGACCATTGGAATAGTTAAGAAATAAAACTAAAAAGAAAAATAACTTTTTTTTATAAAGCAGTCAAAAGTATGATAAAAAAAATCAATAATATTTATAAATGGGACAAAACTTTAATTTTTCTTTTGGTTTTGTCTGACTTTTTCGAAGATTTCAAATCTCTGTTTGCATATTTAGGAGTATAAAAAATTATAAATAATTTAAAGGTGTACATTTTCGCAAATTGTTGGCAAGGATGACCAAATTGTATTTTGCTCATCTCAAAAAGGTATGCATTGAAAATTCCAGGCTTAGTTGACAAACTATCAAATAGAGATATAAATATTTTTTCTAATTTGAAAATATAAAAGAGAAATTTTTCGCTGGGAGATTTTAAATGGCCAAACACCTTTTCTTCAGAGTCGTATGCTTTAAAATGCGTTAACACGTTAGAATTGTTAAGTAAATTGCATTATTCTGAGAAATTTACGCAAATTTCGCAAGAGTGGATATGTAATGATTTTTTGATTAAATAGCCACATACATAGTTAAATGCATTTTGAGTGGTCACATTTAGCTCCCTGTAGTCACATTCAGAAATCGTAATTGCCCCAACTGATTGTTTTGAAATATATATAATTTTCATTAAGCGGAGAACTTGTTTTCCTAAGGGAAAAACGAATCCCGGGATTCCTTTCCAGTGTGTGCCCCACTGCCGCTAGTGCCCACGAGCTGCCACTGATACTAACTATATCTTGCTGCAATTTTGGGCCGGGAAATAAGCAATCGTTTAAAGATTTTTGATTTGGCAAGTTAGCAGAAGCATCAAACACCACTCTCAATTTAGTTGTAGTGCTAGTTGGTTTTAAAATGCAATGGTGCTGAATATAATATATTCCTTGGCAAGTTTCATCATAAGGCACACTTCTCATGTGTCCAAGATCAACATATTATCTCATAAAATCGGAATATTCGGCATACAGTTTGGGATGTTTTATTAGACGTCTTTCTAACGACAAAAAACGGTTTAATGCGAGTTCCCTGATTCCGAGAAATGTAGGCGAATCAATACAAAAAGGAAGCGATACCTCATAATGATCCTGAGGAGTATGAATAACTGTATCTCGATAAATGTTTTCACATAAACTATCATCAGGATTAGTAGCCGAAACTTCGGGTACCTTCTCGATTTCCCGGAATTTTCGTAATGTATCATTTAACGAAATATGAGAGAAAAAAATACTAGTGGTTGGAAGCGAAACATTCAACTTTCCCATGAAAACATAACCAAAAATTGTGTTTATAGCGTCAGGTTCACCATATTTACTCAACACACACCCCTGTAGAATTATTTTTGAAAACAGATCTGCGCCGAACAATAAGTCAATATTCTTAGGACAATTAAAATGTACATCTGCAAGTGGTACATTGTTAATATGGGACCAAGATTCAATGGAAATTGGAACGGCGGGCATTTTATCACAAATCTGATCAATTATAATCGCATCGCACGATAAAATAGGAGACGACTTATCTCTTGGTTTGATTGACAGAGTAACTTTACCCTTACTGAGACAAGATTTCATAGAACCTAAACCATTTACTTCGGTTAAGAATTCAGACCATGGTAAACCTAAGGAATGGAAGGCTTTAAGCGTAATAAAAGAGCATTGACTTCCCGATTCTAATAAACATCGTAAAGGTTGATAACTATGGCGATTGTTCAAAACGTCAACACAAGCAGTAAATAACAAAACATGACTCAAAGTATTATCATTTAATTTCAAAGAAATAGGATTAGTAACATGCGACGTTTGAGAAATGTTAGAGGTTTGCAACCCTGAAGAATGGGGTGATAGTGATAATGCATTAGAACCAATACCAGAGGTAAATTGCTGTGAAGGATCGGGATAGGGCAAGTTATGGTGACTTTGAGAACTTGCAGCAGGATGCCGTGAGTTATGAGATAAGAGCGCATGCGTATTATTTTTATCAAAGTGTAACAAAGTGTGATGTGTCTTGGACGAACACTTTTTGCAAGCGTATGAAGAGCGACAAGTCGTGCAAAGAACTGAGACAATTGAAGCATAAATGTAACGATTTGGTAAAGTTATATCTTTCAGATGGCGTTTTATTAGCTAAGGCAGAGCAAGTATACAACGAGTAGTTAGCTTTACAAGAAACACAAAAATTAGCGGGCGATTTAGACACAAACAATGAAGAAATACGAGAACGTTGAGCAGGTAGCACCTTTTTAGAGCGAGAATAATTAGGATGTAGGTTACTACTTCCTTGCTTATTTAATGGTGCAGAACAATTTAGCAAATTTTCATTTTCAAATTCAACGTTATTTAAGGCGATGCACCTACCTTCCAAAAAATTAAACAAACTTTTATAAGTCGGTACGTCATTAGATTTATGTTCTACCTATTCGAAAAGGGTTATAGTTTCATTAAAAGCATAACTAGCATAAAGTCCCATTGCTCAATTGGAAAACTCATTACTTTAAGCGATTCCAAATTTTCAGAAAAAATGTCCAACAACTTACGTAAAGAACCTTCTTCAGAAGTATTTTAACAGTATTAGCAATCATGTCCCAATGGGCTTTAGCTCGCAAACGTTTATTCGAGTAACGCTTGACAATTGTATTATAAGCAATATCATAATTGTCACTAGTAAGTTTCAAATTGCGAATAAGAAACAAAGGTTGATCCTCAAGAGAAGTTTTAAGATAATTAAATTTCTCAACATCAGAAATTGACGAATTATCATGCACAAGTGCATCAAATAAATCTATATATGCGGCAAATTCCTTATTATCCCCTGAGAATTTAAGAAGATTAATTTTAGGCAAACGAATATGCATATCAAAATTAGGTTGCGTAGAATTTATGATGGATGTGCGCGATACATTTGGAGCATCATTAAAAAGTTCATCTATAATAGCTTTAATATCAAAAAACTGTTTTAAAAATTATTCTCTTACATTCTCTTCCTCCTCTGCCATAGGTACCTGTTCCGGTATGCTTAATATGGCAGAAATTATATTATTATGCTGTTTTAGAAACTGCATATCATTTAACGATGATTTTCGGTAAAGTTTATATTTATGTATTTTATCCATAGCAAAGAATTAATTGAGTATTCGATTCATAACACCGTGGGTCGATTTGATTTCTGATTTACGATTTACGATTTCCAACTTACAACTTCCAATTATCAAAGTTTAACCTTGTTGTAACCATAATATATCAAGTAAATTATCAGTCGACTCGTTGAGTTGTCTTGCAGAGGATCAACGACCAGATTCCCACTTCTGTATCTTGGTATAGATCTTGTAATGCCAACCGAGGAGAGTGAGGTTGTATTTTGCCCATTTCTTGCTAATAAAATCGCAGACGCTAACTGTTAAAAATATCTTTTGCTATGGTCACATTTTTTGGATAATTTCAGTGTTTGTAAATGCATATAAGTTCGCTTTTTCTTGATTTGGATTTTTAATATGACTCGTATATTTTTATTGCGGTAATTGTAAAAGTTTATGAATTTGAAACATTTCCACCAGCTAAATAATAAACCAAAATTTATTTATATTCTTTTTGAAACTTATTTTTAATCTCTTTCTTGGTGCGACAATTCTCCTTTTGCTAAAATTATATATAACTGAGTTAATTTTGTCATTTTGGTAAACATCTTTTTAAAATAAAAAAGAGAGTCATTGGCGCCCAGATACCCTAAAAATATTCCCCAAAAGTGTCTATTAGAAAAGCCTGAATTCACAACTGAGAAAATTAAAGTCTCATATGCTCATTTTGTTTCTAATTGGATTAAGACTTATTAAGGTAAGTAATAAGTTTGAGATAACTATATCTAACCAGCTAGTCTAAATTAAAAATCATTCTCGAATTGCTTTGGGCATTCACAATTAACAAATTAATTAATAAAAATTGGAGCCTTCAAACTGGTTTCTTTTAGACATTTTTTTGGGTGTATTTTTCTTTTTGTCACACCAAGTGGAGTGTTCTTATCTAGTATATGCAAGTGATTTTTACATTTATTTGAAGCTAGTATTTTAAATTTAAAAAAATACTGTTAAATTTATCAGAAAATATTGCTTTTGTTCAACTTAAAGAGATATCTTAACTCATTCTTTGGAGGTAAAATTCGAGGTGTCAGCTCTAAGATTATATTAAGGGATTAATTGAACAGCTTCTTCGTATTTTATTTTTAATTTAGCCACGTCCTCTTAACAAATTATTAAAGTCCAATTGAACTACATGACGAATCAGACAAAATGTATCAGTAATCAAGTAAAATGGAATGTGTGGACCGCAAAATGTACGTTTATCATCCTAATTGCCGTGGCCTCGTTTTCATCCTTATTTTACTATGATTTTTTAATCACTTATGCCTGATGATGATCATTTGACAGTTACGAAATGAATAAAATAATTAATATTATGTAGTTAAGACTTTTGTTTTCTTTATTAATAAGTTTATTTTAAATATTTTTTAGGCAGTGGATGTATTTGGAACCAATTTTTACCAGTGAAGACATATCAAAACAGTTACCTGTTGAAACCAAGAAATATGGATCCATGGAAAGAACCTGGAGAAGGGTTATGAGAAATGCCCATGAATGTCCTTTGGTAACATTTTAAAACTTTCTCTTTTTGTAAGACTGTTTATTTAAGGCATAACGCCAGTTTTCTGTGTACACTTAGTTCACACAATACACATACCAATTAGACGATTCTCTGTCATTGGAGACTCCAAACATATTCTACGATGTTTGCTGTATGCATAGATTAAAACCTTGGCAATGAGATTATCCATAAAATCTATTTTATCTATATTTTCTGTGAAATGTAAATAAGGTATTTTTTGGCAGTTCTGCAACTCTACAGTACTTATGCATCAACCGCCGCTGGAATAGAGATGGGTGTTCTCTCTCAGTGCCTATGGTTAGGTTAGGTTGAAAATGAGTGGGATAATCTCATCGCCTTCCTCTGCGACCCAAATGGGTCTATTGTGGCTCATAACTAACTTATAGTTCACCGTACAAGCCACACCTTTTGATGAAGGCCATGGTTGAATTGGGTTTTAAGTCAGTAGGCTCCAGTCGGGTAAACTCGAAGATCTGGAACCTGGTTATTTCCAGAGTGGAGCAGGTACATAGAATGTGCTCTGCAGACTCATCCTCCACGCTGCAGAATCGACAGTCCGATGTTTGTTGCAGACCTATCCTTCTTATGTGATTGCCCAGACGGCAGTGTCCTGTCATCAGTTCAGTGAAAATGCGTAGATCTTTCCTACACCATTCTCGGATCTAAGCAGAGGCGTTCATAGAAGGGTTGGTTATAAACGCCTTCGAATGAGTTAGCCCTGGGGTATCTCGCCAGTTCGTGAGTATTGCACCCTCCGTCCATTTTGAGATAATTCCTTTGGTAGTGTTTTTTGCAATGCCCAGGAATGGTTCTGGTCCTATGAACACAGATTGCTCAATTGGAAAACCCAGCGTCGGCTTTTACATTGCCATCCACACCACTGTGCCCCGGAACCCAGATCAAAGTAACTTTGTTCCGAGCACCGAGACATTCAAGGGTATTTATACAGTTCCAAACCAGCTTTGAGTCAACTCGATTGGAGCTCAGGGCCTCAAGGGCTGCCTGGCTATCTGAAAAGATCTTTATAGTCTTCTTTACGGGGACAAAATTAATCAACTCTCTCGCTCCCAATTCTATAGCAATCATTTCTGCTTGGAAGATCGTGGACAGAGAGCCTAGGTTTATTGATATGTCAACTCTAGGCCTCTGTCCGAAAACTCCCACTCCTACTCCTTTTTTAGATTTGGAGCTGTCCGTGTACAACGCACAGTCTGTCTGGGAGAGGGTTTTTCCCCTCTGCTCCATGCGTCTCTCTCTGGGATAAGGACGCTGTATGGCTTTTCTATGTGCTGTCGGGGAACTAGCGAGTCATGCCGAGGATGGGGTGGTTATTAATTTCACTTATTAGCCCCGTCTTGTCCCATAGCAGTTCTTCGTAGCATTGACTACCCACCTTCATGAGTATGTAGGAGACCATCCTGGCCTCCCTTTCCAGCAGAAAGTGGAGAGGGGTTAGGTCCAGCATGGTCTCCATGGCTCCCGTAGGTGTGGTTGACATTGCTCCAGTTAAGGCTAGGCACGCAAGCCGCTGTATTCCAGCCAGCTTTGCTCTGGCCGTCCGTTAAAGTCCCTTGTCCCACTAGACGACAGAGCCGTACGTAACCATGGGTTTTACTACTGTTTGGTAAATCCAGTAGATCAGTTGAGGACCTAGCGCAATCTCCCCATGATTTAGGAAATGGCCGATTTTGCTTACTAGATTATGCAGGGCATGATCTGTCGATTTGCCTGCTTGGTAGGCATATTGGGAGGAGTTTAACGGGCTTGCCCGAAGGCCTCCTTCTCTAATATGCCTATCTAGAATCTTTTCTAGTGTTTTTAAAAGAAAGGATGTTAGGCAGATTGGACGATAAGAGTTTGGTAGGGAAGTATCTACTCTACCAGCCTTGTGTTTATACACGACTTTCGCCATCGTCCATCCTAGCGGGATATAGCTCCACTCCAGGCTTGCTCTAAACAGCCTCACAAGGAGAGGTAGCAGAAGTTCCTGTTCTTTTTTCAAAAGGGCAGGAAAAATGCCATCCTCTCTAGGTGATTTAAAGGGGGAGAATGAATTCCTCGCCCATTTCACGGCATTTGGAGAGACAATTTGTGCAATAGAGTTCCAGTCTTCTTTTTTGGGTCGTATGATCGATTTCCTTAGAGGAAGGGGTACATGTTGCCTGTCCTCCAGGATTCGACTGCCTGGGAAGAATCTCTCAGTGCCTATAGCCTTGTATAATTTTTTCCTAACTTTTCAAGTTTTCTCGTCACAAAAAAAAACGATTATTACTAGTGACGCCTTGGATTCGGAAACACTCGGGAGTTTGGTTAATGTGGTTTGCTTTACAACTTTTTGATTAAAAATAAAATAAAAAAATGTGATAGTATAAGAAATCACAACAATAAAATTATATTGTTTAATGGGTAAATATAAACATAATTGTTATATTATTTGTTATATTTCCATAATATATTTTCTTGTAATATCTTCCTATAAATATTTTATGCTACGGTCTAACATAAAGGTTATGTTAAACCATGTTATTATGTCAAATGAAATTTCTAGACTTTATAATTATTTTATAAAACACTATGTAAGATAAAATCTTCCACTCACACATTTTTTTATTCTTTGAAACTTATTTTATCAATAAGCTGAAATATTGAAAATTAGTTATTAGAACCTTAATCATGCACTTTATAACAATTAATAAATATAACTTAGATTTCCTAAAAAAAAGAAAAATAAAGTTTTGGGGTACCTACATTCAAAATAGTTCGTATTTGGCGGGTCAGCCATATTGAGTTGACATAAGTGATACCATTTTGAATATGCTTATTCGCTTCGTGCGTAACAGCAGCGTCAATTTTTAATAGAATTCCTAATTAAAAAGTATATATTATGTTAGTTTTAATAAAAGTATATTAATTTGTAAAATAAGTGAAAACATTAATTCATTATTATTATTATAAATTTTTATAGCTTCAACTAAAAAAAAGTAAGTATCAATAAAAATTAATAATAAAACATAGGCAGGCCACAGTATTTATGAGAAAATGTATGAGAAGTTGCCTAAGTCTAATAAGTTGTCTTTGAAGAATTAACCTATTCTGTCAAAATAAAAAAAAATTAAATAATAGTCCTTGCTGAACATTTAAGATGTTGAAGAACATTTTCAGTATTACTGTTATTATTACAAAAATAAAGGTAACTTTTCTTCTTATTGTACAGCTATCCATTTATTTCTTTGATTTAATTTCCACTTGACCTACCGAATTTTTTATAATTTACAGTTTTTTTGCTAGTATTTTTACAATTTACAACATAGCAAAAAAAGTTAAATATATACCTGTATTTGATACGCCAAAATATCGAATTATCCGCAGCTTGCGCTAGTATCTCTTTTGCTTCCCTACCATGACTTCACACCGAGCGAATAGCGTCTCCCTATCTTCTTACTCCAGTTTGTACTCATAGAAGCTATTTATTTTAACACAAATCTGAAAAGAATAAGGTTTAATAAAATGATGTTTAGGTATTGCTGTCGGTTACAACACTTGGCTTTGCTTTAAAACATTTTTCACCTAATGATTTTTTTGAAATTATTTGAGCCGTTTATTTTGAAAGTGGCCTAAATCCATTTATGTTTAAATTAAGATAGTTATTCATTATCGATAATGTCCGAAGGCAGTGATGAAGGTAATTTTAATTAATTAATATTTAACAAGTTTAAACTCAGGTTTGGACAATTGCATTAGTTGAATAATCAGTACGTTTAAGTAATGCAGTTAAACAAAATTTACACAAACCCATAGATATCTCAATTTAAGTATAAATGGACTTTAGCGGCTTTTAAAATAAACGGCTCATTTATGTTTTGAGGCATTACATCCATTGCTCTACTAATATATTTTGACCCCATGCATCCGAAATGAGGGTTCACCAATTTTCAAAATTTTGAGGGTTACGCCATTTGACCTATGAAGTATCAAATAAATAAAAGTTTTGTTGATACACAACTCACATTAGGGCGTAGTTGCTCAATATTTCAATTTGTGTTATAGACACGTAAACAATTCTCAAATAAAAGTTAAATAGATGTGAAAAAAAACATTTTTAAAAATATTTTAAAATTATTTTGCCTGGAGAATTAAAATGTATATTTTTTAAATAGTAATTTTTTTTTCTTGTCTCATCAGCATCAACTGCTACGGTTATTAGTAATGATTTTAAAATTGTTATTACAGACATAAGTTAGCAAGCTAACGAATGGTGATAATAGACTGGTTTATTTTATATGAAGTGTTTTGAAACCTCTCAATTTGAAAAAGGTAAATCAAACGAGGGTGGTCCTTAGGATCTCACAAGAGTATTTTATTACGACCGGTTTCGAGGATCAAATCCTCATCATCAGGTAAGGTCTAAAAATAGAGAGGAAAAACGAATGAGCTCAAACTAATAAGTGGGTTTAAACATTTTAATATGAAAGTTGTCAAATATCAAGAACTCACCCGTAATTACTCATCTATTTAATTTTGAAAGAGTAAAACCAAATTTGGTAGATTTTCACACTTTTATTTTAAAAATAAAAATTTTTAAACAAACACTAACATGACATATGTTTCGAAGTACAACTTCTTTTTCAAACAACATTTGAAAAAGAAGTTGTACTTCGAAACATATGTCATGTTAGTGTTTGTTTAAAAATTTTTATTTTTAAAATAAAAGTGTGAAAATCTACCAAATTTGGTTTTACTCTTTCAAAATTAAATGGATTTTCATCAAGTAAAGGCCGAAACAATAAATAATCATCTATTTAAGACTAAGCTAAGAGAATTATCCCAGGGTCGGTGTAAAAACAAGTATGCGAGTATTTTTTAAAATACATAAAAAATATAAAAAACAATAGTTGCAACAAAAAGTTGATGTCAAAACACATAAACAAAAGTAGGTCTAAAACTATTAATTAAAATTATTAAAATATTACACGAACGGACGA